TCTCACTATTTTTGACTTTTCTGAGCCTGTCAAGTCCTTCTTTGACCCATTTTGCCAAAGGAAAGGAAGTTGCCTAATAATTATGCACACCTGATATAGGGTGTTGATGTCATTAGACCACACCCCTTCTCATTACAGAGATGCACATCACCTAATATGCTTAATTGGTAGTAGGCTTCGAGCCTATACAGCTTGGAGTAAGACAACATGCATAAAGAGGATGATGTGGTCAAAATACTCATTTGCCTAATAATTCTGCACTCCCTGTATGTCTTGTCATATCTGCTCACAAATTCTGCCTATGAGTTAGTTTATAAGAGACTTTGCATTCAGTTCTGAACACTTTATTTAACTCAGGTGTGTCTAACATATGGCCCGTGGAGCCCTCAGATTAAGACCACATCAATAGCTTGTTACATTATTAAATGTTACTTCCTCTGAGCTCCCAGACAGAGGCTCACTGGAGCACAAAAGGAGGCAGGAACAGATTGCATTGGTGGCTGGCACCAGAGACCAGTAGGAAGAGACGCTGGGTAAAGCCTGGCCGTGGAACAGGACTGGCAGGGGACTCTGTGAAATTGCAAGGGAGCAAAGACTTACATCTGTTTCTCACAATGCCCTGCATACTGCACTATGAAAGGCTGCCGGGATCAGCCAGCCACATAAATCCTAAGCATTGAAGAGTGTGTGTTTATATGGCTGTGTATATGTGTAACAGTGTGTGTATATGTTTAAGTGTGTGTGTGTGTATATGTGTAACAGAGTGTGTTTGTTTACATGTTTTAGTGTGTGTGTGTGTGTGTACATTTGACTGTGTATATGTGTAACAGTGTGTGTTTGTGTATATGTGTAAGTGTATGTGTACATGTGACTGTGTAGATGTGTAACATGTGTGTTTGTGGATATGTGTAAGTGTGTGTGCACATGTGACTGTGTATATGTGTAAGTTTGTGTGTACATGTGACTGTGTATATGTATAACAGAGTGTGTTTGTGTATGTGTTTAAGTGTGTGCATACATGTGACTGTGTATATGTGTACCAGTGTGTATATGTGTAAGTGTGTATGTACATGCGAGTGTGAATATGTGTACCAGTGTGTATATGTGTAAGTGTGTGTGTACACTTGACTATTGTAATCCGCTTCTCAGTGGTCTTACGTGCTCCCAACTTGCACCGTTACAGTGCATAATGAATGCAGCGGCGAGGCTCATCTTCCTGTACGCCCGCACCACCCACGCCTCACCCTTCTGTCAGTCCCTACATCGGCTTCCTGTAAGATATAGAGCTCAATTTAAAATTCTGGTTCTTCCTTTCAAATCTCTACATAATGCTTCTCCCACCTATCTTTCCTACCTAATACACAAGTGTGTCCCGTCTAGGCCCTTATGCTCTGCTGAAGACTTATGTCTATCTTCTGTCCGTACTCCCACCTCTGATGCTCGCCTTCAAGACTTCGAGGACTGCACCGTTCCTGTGGAACTCATTTCACTCCACCGTTAGATGCTCACCCAGTCTCCACTCCTTCAAAAAATCATTAAATGCCCACTTCTTCATAAAAGCGTATCAACTGTTAGTAGCTCTTGCAATTGTCATTACTCTAATACTACCCTTACCTTTTGTGTCACTTTACCCCACGCCCTCTAGCATGTAAGCTCATTGAGCAGGGCCCTCAACCCTGTGTGTCCAACTTGTCTGGTTACAAATACATGTCTGTTAGTCCACCCATTGTAAAGCGCTGCGGAATTTGACGGCGCTATATAAATAATAATAATAATAATATATGTGACTGTGTATATGTGTAACAGTGTATTTTTTGTCAATCTTAATATATATTGAGGCTATATTAAGACATAAGATGCAGAGGCATTTAAGCAAGATAAGCTGCACGATAGCAGATTGATATTGCATATGATAGAACCTCAGTTTTGTTATAATGGTAACAAGAAAAATCAGTGCAAACAAAAGCAAAAGTATTAATTGTACGTTTCATTATGGATCATATGCAAAGACGAGTTAAGACAAGTTTGGATGGATACATGTCTACATATCATTTTTCAATACATTTAGTACAATATAGTTTTTTCTGTACTTCCATGTTTTTTTATATACGTAAATAATACAACTCTTAATATACGTTTTTGGAGATTGAGCCAATATACTTTTAGTAAAGTTTTTGACGGTTCTTCTGAGATGAATGTGTTCATTTTCTTTCATTATTTTATTGGCTTTTAAACAGTCTCCTGTCCTGATACTGACTTTCTCTCAATTTTATTTCTTGCTGATCTGGCTATTTTCTTGAAAATGTTATCTCCAGTCACTTATAACTGGAATTATGCCAAAATCCCGGCAGCATTTTTTTTCTGGAATCAAGTCCAGATTTCACCCCACTGTCGATGCTTCTTTCCTTAAAGGGACACTATAGTCACCTGAACAACTTTAGCTTAATGAAGCAGTTTTGGTGTATAGAACATGCCCCTGCAGCCTCACTGCTCAATCCTCTGCCATTTAGGAGTTAAATCCCTTTGTTTATGAACCCTAGTCACACCTCCCTGCATGTGACTTGCACAGCCTTCCATAAACACTTCCTGTAAAGGGAGCCCTATTTAGGCTTTCTTTATTGCAAGTTCTGTTTAATTAAGATTTTCTTATCCCCTGCGATGTTAATAGCTTGCTAGACCCTGCAAGAGCCTCCTGTATGTGATTAAAGTTCAATTTAGAGATTGAGATACAATTATTTAAGGTAAATTACATCTGTCTGAAAGTGAAACCAGTTTTTTTTTCATGCAGGCTCTGTCAGTCATAGCCAGGGGAGGTGTGGCTAGGGCTGCATAAACAGAAACAAAGTGATTTAACTCCTAAATGACAGTGAATTGAGCAGTGAAATTTCAGGGGAATGATCTATACACTAAAACTGCTTTATTTAGCTAAAGTAATTTAGGTGACTATAGTGTTCCTTTAATCCTTTGATTAACAATTGATCATTCTCACAGTAGTATGAATAGGACACCATCTCTTACTTTTTTGTTATTGTGTTATATGCAACAATGGAAAATCTATTTATATAGACACGCTATATCAATAATCCCTCCATGGGAATTTAATCAGCAGCGTTGTGCTTTCAGACCATGCAGCAAGCAAGGGCTAATTAGTTTGAACATTTCACAAAGATTATTAGCTGCAAATATTTCTGAATATTCGTATATGTGGTGTCAAATGCAGTGTTCCTCAACCATCTCCTGAAGGCATACCTCACAGTCCAGGATTTAGGATTACCTGGCTGTGTCTAAGGTGTTTAAAAAAAAAAAACACACCTTAGACTCAAGAAAAAGAATTAAAAAAACACATTAAACACCTTAGACACAGCTGGGTAATCGCCAAATCCTGGACTGTCAGTGTGACGGACCACCTGGCACTCCGACCGAGTGCCTCCGCCAATCGATGCTCCTAGTGCTCACCGAGGAAATCCAGCACTCCACCAGACACCATAAGCACTGTGGACCCCACTTCCAGCGATGCAGCTGTTCCGGGGTCTCGCTGTCCTTCACCCACCCTGGACCCAATACCGGAATCCAGCTTCCAGTTGGCAGACCTCTCCTACTCCCAGAGAGTGTAGCAGGAGCAGTTCTTATAAGAGCTGGTGATTATAATTCCTGGTGAGTATAGTGATATAGTAATCCCCAGGATAGATACAGCCATTTCTCTCACACATGAGATGAGACTCTATGTTGAGGGTAAGAAGGAACAGAATTTTTATGGATCTATCCTGGGGATTACTATATCACCATACTCACCAGGAATTATAATCACCAGCTCTTATAAGAGCTGTTCCTGCAAACTGCTTCATTAAGCTAAAGTTGTTCAGGTGACTATAGTATCCCTTTAAGGAAAGAAGCATTGACAGTGGGGAGAAATTTGGACTTGATTCCAGAATAAATGCTGCTGGGAGGTTGGCATAATTCCAGTTATAAGTGACTGGAGATAAAATTTTCAAGAAAATAGCCAGATCAGCAAGAAATAAAATTGAGAGAAAGTCAGTATCAGGACAGGAGACTGTTTAAAAGCCAATAAAATAATGAAAGAAAATGAACACATTCATCAAACTTTACTAAAAGTATATTGGCTCAATCTCCAAAAACGTATATTAAGAGTTGTATTATTTACGTATATAAAAAAACATGGAAGTACAGAAAAAACTATATTGTACTAAATGTATTGAAAAATGATATGTAGACTTGTATCCATCCAAACTTGTCTTAACTCGTCTTTGCATATGATCCATAATGAAACGTACAATTAATACTTTTGCTTTTGTTTCCACTGATTTTTCTTGTTACCATTATAACAAAACTGAGGCTTTATCATATGCAATATCAATCTGCTATCG